GATATGGGTTGTAAACCACACTTGTATTCATAGATTGTAAACAACACACTTGCATTCATATAGATTGTAAACCACACACTTGTATTCATAGATTGTAAACCACACATTGCATTCATATGGATTGTAAACCACACACTTGTATTCATAGATTGTGAACCACACACTTGTATTCATATAGATTGTAAACCACACACTTACATTCATAAGGGTTGTAAACCACACACTTGCATTCATATAGATTGTAAAGCACACACTTGTATTCATATAGACTGAAAACCACACACTTGTATTCATATAGATTGTAAACCACACACTTGCATGCATATGGGTTGTAAACCACGCACTTGTATTCATATGGGTTGTAAACCACACACTTGTATTCATATGGTTGTAAACCACACACTTGCATTCATATAGATTGTAAACCACACACTTGTAGTATTCATATAGATTGTAAACCATACACTTACATTCATATGGGTTGTAAACCACACTTGTATTCATAGATTGTAAACCACACACTTGTATTCATATGGGTTGTAAACCACACACTTGTATTCATATAGATTGTAAACCACACACTTACATTCATATGGGTTGTAAACCACATACTTCCATTCATATGGGTTGTAAACCACACACTTGCATTCATATAGATTGTAAAGCACATATTTGTATTCATATAGATTGTAAACCACACACTTGTATTCATATAGATTGTAAACCACACACTTGCATTCATATGGGTTGTAAACCACACACTTATATTCATATAGGTTGTAAACCACACTTGTATTCATATGAGTTGTAAACCACACACTTGTATTCATATGAATTGTAAACCACACATTTACATTGATATGGGTTGTAAACCACACTTGTAATCATAGATTGTAAACCACACACTTGCATTCATATAGATTGTAAACCACACACTTGTATTCATATGGGTTGTAAACCACACACTTGTATTCATATAGATTGTAAACCACACACTTACATTCATATGGGTTGTAAACCACATACTTCCATTCATATGGGTTGTAAACCACACACTTGCATTCATATAGATCGTAAAGCACATATTTGTATTCATATAGATTGTAAACCACACACTTGTATTCATATAGATTGTAAACCACACACTTGCATTCATATGGTTTGTAAACCACACACTTGTATTCATATAGGTTGTAAACCACACTTGTATTCATATGAGTTGTAAACCACACACTTGTATTCATATGAATTGTAAACCACACATTTACATTGATATGGGTTGTAAACCACACTTGTATTCATAGATTGTAAACCACACACTTGCATTCATATAGATTGTAAACCACACACTTGTATTCATAGATTGTAAACCACACATTGCATTCATATGGATTGTAAACCACACACTTGTATTCATAGATTGTGAACCACACACTTGTATTCATATAGATTGTAAACCACACACTTACATTCATATGGGTTGTAAACCACACACTTGCATTCATATAGATTGTAAAGCACACACTTGTATTCATATAGATTGTAAACCACACACTTGCATGAATATGGGTTGTAAACCACGCACTTGTATTCATATGGGTTGTAAACCACACACTTGTATTCATATGGTTGTAAACCACACACTTGCATTCATATAGATTGTAAACCACACACTTGTAGTATTCATATAGCTTGTAAACCATACACTT